AACGAAGAAAGATCAAATAAAAAGCGGCCTATTTCTTGGTCTATAAACTAATGATTTGAACTTTGGATTTTATACTGGAATGGTCGAAACTTCCTTTTAGTGCTAGAAACTTCGGTGGACTTGGAAGTTTATGTATTAAAGCCACTACTAATTGAAATAAGTTTCTAACGTGATCATCTACGGAAACGTTTCAAAATATATTCCGACCGGTCTGTCGCTTTTTCTGTTCCCCTGTTCCGCTATTCGTCGACTATTCCTCTGTTATAGAGTATTTGACTGTATAATGGCCTTGCACTCTACCTTAACTCTAAACATGAAAGAGGCCGCTTTTTATTTGATCTTTCTTCAGTTTCGTCCTGAATCACTTTTCTTCTGTATATTCTGCTTCTAGAATATAGAGCATTTTTCTGTTTACGCTCTGACCAGCCATCTCTGCTACCGGAGTGAAATTCCGTAACGATTTTTTTGCATTTTGTTTTTCTTATAATGTTTGAGTAACGAGACGCCTAGAGATCTAGAATATCACAGATTAAAGAGAAACCCCCCGGAAATCGAGGTGCGAATCCTCGTTAGCGCGTAAATTTTTTTCGAATTTTTTTTAAAGGCCGCCGACTTTAATTTTCGGAAGTATCCCGGACTAAAAATCATGGACCCATAGGCAATCGACCATGCTGATTCCGAATATCGCCTTCCCCCGGACTCTAATCGCGTTTGAAAATTTCGGAGTCCGGTGATAAGCTTACAAATAAGTCTGCTACTTTTTTTACCCGAAAAACTAGGGACTACTGGTTGTCGCTAACGCTTGTAAGATGTCTGAAAAAAGGAGAAAATGACCTTTCTTAAAGACGCTTTTTCGCTCTTAGTTCATCTAAAAACTCATTGTTTGTCATTAAAAAGATATCATACTGTAGAAAATTTCTTGCTGAATTTTTTGGTATACCTTGTTTTGTTGAACAAATGATTTTTAGCGAGATTCTGCGCAAAAAGTCGATTTCTTGAAGGTAAACTTGAGAAGTTTGGAGCTTTTTCCGTTAGACTTACTGTGCCAAACATCAAAGATGAGTCTTAAAAATGAATATATAATCTTGTAGAGAATTAAATTGTCTATCGTTTGGTATAGTAAAGAACTTTTTTCTGAAACGATGTATAAAGAAAAACTGCATGCAAATCGTTTCAAAATAAATTGATCGGTCTGTGTATACACACTAATATTAATGTATTGATCTGAACCCGTACTTGCGTCGGTCGTAGACAAATTTTTTTTGATAAAACAGATCCGATAAGAATCTTATCAGTTTCTTATATAAGATTGTTTAAGATTTCCCATTGACAGTTGTAAGTGTCTTTTAAGAATTTTATAAGATTTTCATAAAAGGTTCGTAAGAAATTCATATGAAGGACCCAAAATTTATATTATTCTTATTTACTAGAGAGCAGCTTATGAATTGGTTTTTGGCGATTTCTGTTATGATTAAGTTACTTCTACTAGCTGGAAAATTTCATAAGAATTTTTGGTACTTTTTAAGAATTTTTTACGAACCTCTTCTGTTTTTTACGAAATCTTATAAGATTCTTATAAGACACTTACGACTGCCGATGGGAAATCTTAAACAATTTTATATAAGAAACTAATAAGATTCCGACAAGAATCTTGTAAGACACTGGCAAGAGACTTAGACCGTTCTGGTAAGATTCTTATATAAGAATCGATGAGGGGGAGGGGGTACTAGGGTAATACTGTGCATCATTATTAAGTATTATCCGGACACAGACGGAAGAAAGATTTCTCTTTTGAGCATACTTATTCTTAACCTACTCTTGCTGGTATCAGACAAAAGCAAGTGTTTCTGACAACTAAGAACAGCTGTAGTCTTCCTATCGCGTTCGTGTTTTAGTAAAAAAGCTTACATGATGGTCAAGGGTAGCCGTTCTTTACTCTTTGAGGTTCACTATGATTCTTTTTTGCTCTAGTTTATTCGAACGCCATCCAGAAATCAAACATTTATGGAAATTCAGCAAATATCTAACTGTACAAGATGTTCACGATGAATATGGCGAAGTCATATCGAAAGCAGATCATATGTGGAAAAAGCAACTCCGTGATCATGGAGAAAAATTATTTGGTGCACTCAATTATGTTATTAACAATTTACAAGCACCGGATAAATATCAATCATTTTTATACGAATTAGGAAAAAAACACTTTTTATATGGTGCGAGAAAAAATTTATTACCGGTTCGTATTCTGTTTAGAATGGTATTCTAACGGGTGGCTCAAAAAAATGGGTCACTTTCGTACGTTGTTTTGAGCGTGAGCTCAGTAGTTCAAAGAGTTCTTTTAAGACTCAATCGATAGAGTATTTGATTTTCTACAAAACCTATTATTTGAATCTCTGATAGCATTTTTCTTGTTTGACCGCTGTTCAAAATACTGTGCAAAAGCCTGAGTATTGAACCTATTTTTTACAGACTTTCGTTTTTATGCTACAAAAGCAGTAAAATCTTCCGAATGCAGGGTTTTACTCTTATTACCTTATACAGAATTAAATTCTGTATCTTTTGATATATAAACAAAGGTTCTCACTTGAAATAATTAATTAAAAAAATTAATTTAATTTGAAATAATTGAAAAGCCGGCTATTTATTAGTCCAGCTGGCGTAGTGGGAGCATTGTATGAAGATATAAATGAGTGAGATCCGTAGAACACAAAATTCTCTATCTTTCTACTTAGAAAAATGAACTACTGAACCTCAGACAATAGGCTCAAAAACCAAAAAAAAGAGACGATAAAAGCATGTCGCAGTTCAACTCCTCAGCACCATTTAATATTTTGAATGATGATCGAAGAAGAAAAACGTTATCAGATATTCAATAACAAGTTTTGCAGAGAATTCAATTCTCTATCGATTGAGTCTTAAACGAACTCTTTGAACTACCGGGCTCATCCTCAAAACAACGTACTAAAGTGACCCATTTTTTCTGGGCCACCCATTATTTCTCATTTGTTCTTGTTCTTGTAGTTCATGTTAGATAGTATTTTGAATACATTTGAGTTGTATCAAAAACAAGCGTTTCCAAACAAAACTCGAAGAGTATGGATAATATTCTACCACCATGTTGCAACTCATCTCACTTTGGGAATGAATAATGCTTCAGATCAAAACGAGCATTCAAGCACAAAACTGGTTGAATGTAATAATATTATCTAACCCTTATACATACGCATCGTAAGCACTTTTTCTCACAGCAGAAAGCTCCCAACTATTTCCTCGCTTTTGGACGCAGATCACTGAAGACTCCGAAATGGTTTGAGCAATGTCCGAAATATTTATAAATCGATTTATAAATGGGTTTATAAACGGTTTTCCGCCGGAAAATTGGCCGGAAAAAGCTGCAAATAATGAATATTTATAAACTATCGTATTTCAGACTCTTCAGTGGCGCAAATAGACCTCGATGAGACTAGAGAGATCGACAGAGCGGATCCATCTGAAACTTCTGGCGCAGCCACTGATAACCGGATTCGTCTGAGAAAAAAATTTCATTCTTCAACTCTTTACAGAAGCTGAAAAATAAAAAAAGCCGACGGTAAATTAATTTCGCTTATTCAGACAATATCTTGCCCACATGTCGATAACGCAGGTCGGTGGATCCGAACAATTTTTCAGGCTTTTCTAGTCTCATCGAGTTCTATTTGCGTCAAAAACGAGAAGGCAATTGACAACCTTTTCCCGCGTGCATTCGCCATTTATATTATTTTTTTCTTGATTATTATGGGGCTTTTATAATAAATGCGTTGCAAAAAGAAGACATTTACATTTTTTCAAGTTTAATTGTACATTCGAAAATAATAACTACAATGATTTCACTGAGCTCAAAAGAACACAGATAATCTGGGTGATTTGCAGCTGTCAACAATTTTTTCGGGGTCATCGGTAGTTATTAGAGACCCTAAGGATTATACAAATCTGGATTTCGGCGCTCCGATTAACTCCAAAGCTTAGAAGAGCGGCCTTTTCGTCCAACAATTAAAACTTGTGCGAAAACACTTAAAATACGGTTATGAGTAGAATAAAGTGTTCTCTTTAAAACGAAATCTCTCTGCCACTCCAAAATATTGTTTTCTGGCGTGTGTTAGATTTTAACGCTCATCTCTTCGTAACTCCCACCTGGTTTTGCACAATTTATATATCCGTTACGAAATGCGGAACGTATCGTATAAGATATAGGCTGAAGTTAGCATAAGTAGGCCACTTGGAGATAAATGTTCTCTAAAAATTTCATCAAGATCCAGCGTTCCATAACGGATATACGCAAAATAAATTCCAGTTTTGTTCCGTAAGCAAAATGCGTACAAGACATCATGTTAGTAAATCGTTCTTTCTGACCACACCATATAGCCGATAGTCTTGAAACTTTTAGTGCATAATATCTATACTTTTGAAGGTTGATTGACTAGTGCTGAAAATTTCATTGAAATCGGTTGTGCTAAAGATAAGTTATATACCAAACCAAATTATTTTTCTCGTTTGATTGTTCCATAATACGGAACTTTTAGTCCGACAACATAATTATTTTTTCACTAGAACTTGATTATCTCTCAATAGAAAGGGTATAAAACAAAGGACGGGGCCGATAAGAGTCAAAATCGGCCTCCTCACAGATAAATCTTATATTAACCGATCTGATGCAGTTTTGTCCAAGGTTAACCCTAACTAGGGATGTTTGGTTCTCGGTTCTCTTATTTTCGGTTCTTCATCGAGAATCGAAACCGTGATTTCTTAGATGGTTCCTTTTTTTTTTGAAACCGAGAGTTTTGGACTTGCCTTTCTTTTAACAAAATGAAAACATTATTGGCAAAGCTACAAAAAGATGTATTTGCCTGTCATCATTCAAAAGAATCCTTTCGTTTACTATAAACTGGATTCTGTTTCGTTGAATTGCTAGGACTTGAAGAATTATTTTCCGGTTCTAAGCCAAGAACCGAGAGCCGCGGTTCTTTTCGTTTCGGTTCTCGAACCGGAAGCGCGATTCTCGATTCCAGAACGGAGAACGGAACATCCCTAATCCTAACAAATTTTTAGACCTTAAAAATCCTTTGCAGCGCACCTAGAAACATTTTCGCAAAAAAACCCTTTATATATCATTCGACAGAGAATTTATCCTAAGTTGGTTAGACTTATGGGTAAAAAGACGAAAGACATATTTTTCATGTTTTCCAAGTAATTTTGCTGACATTGGGCTTTTTTTAAATGGAATGCTGTTTGATGAAACAGTGCTGTACAGAACTCAGAGATGTCCTGATTTGCTCAGGAATCATTTCTGAACACGGTGAAGCTACTACAAAAAAGGTATCATTCGACTTCGGGGACTTGGTTTTCTAGGGTTCTGATTCTCAAAAGATCTGAGTCCTGGTAATTTCAGTGGAATCTTTATTTGTCACAGACCAGATTGAAAAAATACTTTTGTACTGCGGATGTCCGTATAAATAGGCCGAATCTTTTAACAATTTTTTGTCTTTGTATTTTGTTGAAAATAAAAGAATTCTTTTAATGATAATGTCCATTAAAGTGTTACAGTCGCACTAGTATGGAAATTTGTCTATCTATCTTGCCCATTACACAATCTAATGTTATCGGCGTACTATATTTGTTTTGTTATCATTTCCAATTGCTTTTATTTATGTTTATGTGAATGCACGTAAATTTTTTTTTCTTATATGCCTTTTTATATGTTCTTTGTTTTTGTGATTTGTAACTGATTTTTTCGATTCTGATGATTTACAGTAATTTTTTGTTCTTTCGTTTTATCAGAATAAAACTAACGCAATCATGTGTAATGACGTCACACAAATCTGTAAACAGCCCTTCGAAATAGAATGTCCTTTGCAAAGTAAGGAAGTCATTTGAAATTACTTTAGGGATGTTTATGCCTATATTTTCTCCCAAAAATCAAGTTGAAAAGAATCACTTGTAAAATCCTGACCTGTGCTCAAAGTAACAATATTCCATCTCTCTGCACATATTTCTGTAAGCAAAAGAGAATTTTGAAAAAACTTCTGAAGCGAGTTTTTTAGAGAATCTTTGGAAAACTAGTTTGAGTTCTCCGAAATTCACATAGGAATGTATTGATTTTTTCTCATGGACTGATAGTCCGACGTGCCCTCTTCAAAATGGGAGTAAAGTGAGACCTTGATTTTCTGCGGTTCGGGCGTTGTATCAGATTTCCGACAAGTCCCAGAACTAGCACTCGGTGACTCTTGGTAGCCTTAAAGACGGATGGACTATGGGTAATCGACCATGCTAAGTCTCGTGGCAATATTGTTTTTTAGAAAAAGTTTTAAAAATCTAGCAAAAAGCCAGTTTTAAGAAAATTAGGGTTTTCAGGCTGTTTTCACCTAATATTAAAAAATTCACTATTCACTCAAAAAACATCAGAACAAGCTCAAAATCTCAGAATACGATTAATTCAGCCCATGAGAAAAATTCATAATCCCCAGTGACACCGCAGGGAATTAGTGTAACAAAAGTCGAATAGTTTAATAAACGAACAAAAGTCTAGACTTCTCAGACGTAAATCTTTGACTGTTACACGTATGCATTCCCCGGGGCATCCCTGCCATCCAGCTTTTTGTTTTGCGAACAGCCATACATACATACATCACTGTTCTGTGCAAAAATTCGTTCGAATTTTCACCTTGTGAATCATCACCATCGTGTCAGCCAGTATTGGCTGAGGTGTATCAGATTGGTACCAGCGATAGGACGTACCACTTAATTATAATAAATTATACGAAATTTACAAAAGATCTAAACCTGGGGACTCCTTCAAAACTCTCCGAGCGGTCCCGTTACGGAGTCCCCGGAGATTCCATCAGGAAGTGTCTACTAGGATTAGCACTCTATTATTGTCGAAACTGAAATAGATTATTATACTTCGTTTTAAACTGATAAATTTAATTTTTACATATTGTAATTGTTCAATATAATCTGGGTCAAGTATTTCATTTTGTTTTCTCAATCATTAATCGTCTTTCATCATTTCTTATTAGAACTATTTGTGTTGTTAATGCGTTCAATACACTTAGCCTTACGAGGGAACCTCACCAACTGATACCCTCTGTTTGAGCTCATACTCTGCTCATAGGTAGGACTCATAGTGTAGATAAAAACTCTAAAAGGATTCATCCCCTTGACTCTTGAAGACCTGGTTTTC